AGATTCCTCAACAAGCTAGAAATTGATCTACCATATGATTCAGCCATACCACTCTTGGGCATATACCCAAAAGGCTCTATACCCTACTACAGAGATATCTGTTCACCTATGCTCATTGCTGCCCTTTTCATAATATTCAGGAATCGAAAACAACCGAGATATTCATCAACTGATGAATGGATAATGAAAAGTGTGGAACATATATAATGGAATATTATTCAACTCTTAAAATGAAATTATTAAATTCTCAGGTAAACAGATGGAATTGGAAATAATCATCCTGAGTAAGGTAACATAAACTCAGAAAGACAAACATTATATGTTTTCTCTCATAGCTGGATACTAGTTTTGAAATCTTAGATATGTATGGTCAGGAAACTAACAAACGGCCATAGAGGTGGGGAGGCCGTGAGAAGGGAGATAGAATACAGTGATATAAAGGGGGAAAGGGGAATAATAGAGTAGAGGAAGGGTTAAATTGGGCAAGGAATGGGAGGGCTGGGCAGAGGAGGGAATCTGGGAAGGGGTAAGAAGCACTAACAGCCTTTAGAAAAACCCATTTGGAAACCTGCCATCACAGAAGCTTCTTAAAGTATACGTGTATACATTATAAGAGATTAAAAGGAGTTACCGTATAACAATAATATTGCCACTACCAGGCACTACAGACTAGCAAACTAAAAGCCCAATGCTAGAAATGGACTCCTTCTTTTGAAGCTGTTGACCACAGACCTTCAAACAATGCTGGCCATTGCCCCTACTCTTGCTTACCTACGAGAACTGTATGGAGAGATCCTATTGTTGAAGATACTACATGCATAAGCTATAGAACAAACATAGAGAAGTCAAGATGATGCTGACTTCAAAGCTTGATGCTTTGTGAAGAGAAAATTAATCAGTAACCTTACACAGTTATGAATGCTGTGAGTTAGCATAACAACTGGCCTGGCAAGACATGACCGTTGGTACAATGGTGGCATGAATATTTATGGGAATAACCAAACCACTTTGATATTGGATTTAAGGTCTGCATACCTGACATTGACATCAGGCCTAGGAACTTGAGGCTAGATGGGTCACAGGCCATAGAGGAAAGTCTAATTCTATTATTATGCTAAATAAATATAGTATTAAGTTGACTCCTAATGACTTGTTATACCCATAGATTACTGCATCTCTCAACTCTCAGCAGAGAAGCTTCCTTATGCAGCAGAGGGGGACTAACAAGAAAACTACAACTGGCCAACACACAGAGAATAAAAGGCTGCAGAGCGCTCATTCCTAAATAGGACACCTATATCAAACTTCTGCCTCCCAAGGCTCAGGGATCATTGTGGAAGAGGGGCCAGAAAGACTGTAAGAACCACAGGAGGTGAATGACCATAAGGAAACAAAGTTTTTCAGACAGCTGGGCAGTTACTCATGTGAACTCAAAGCAACAGTGACAGCACGTACAAGTGCCACCTAAGCTTAAACCAGACAAAATCCCCAAATAGACATGGAGGAGTGGGTAAGAAACCTGAGGAAGTAATGGCCACTGATGGTTGCTGGGAGAGGGAGAGTCAGTCTCATTTAAGGGTGTGACTCTTGGTAGGCTCACCAGGCTCCAGTGGATAGACCCACACTAAAGGGCATTTGGGGACACAAATTTGACTTTACAGGCATCCTTATATATATATATCATATATATATATGAAATATATATATATATATATGAAATTGGTACATGAAATTGGGCAGGGGGTGGTAAGGGGGCAGATAGGGAGATGGGGAGGGGGTCTAAATATGATAAAGTATATTGTATGAAATTTGTAAAAATTCAATAAGAAACTGAACGCCAAGATAAATCCTTCTCACACAAAAATTCTCAGGAGTAATACAGAACAACCAAGGAGGGCTAATTCAGAAATGAAAGGTAGATTTCACATGAGAAAATCTGTCCATGCAAATTTCCATGTTGAACAGACATTATAAAAACATGTTTAACTCAATATATACAGAAATCATGGTAAAATTCACTATCTGTTCATGATCTCAGAAAACAGAGTTTAAGGAACTCTCTTAATCTGGAAAAAGGTAACTTTAAAATATCTGTAGAAAGCACAATGCTTACAGTGGGTTATTAAAAGTGTTCATCCTGAACACAGAAGAAAAGGCTGCCTGCCAGCAATACTTTTATTCAACATTGTACTGCATGAAACACCAACTGCACAGTAAAGAATACAAGTGAACATATAGAATTATTAATTTATAAGTGAATTTCACAGAGTTGCTGAAGCAAGATTTATATACTGAAGTGAACTACTTTTCTATAAATAATTAGAAATGGAATTTAACAAAATCGTTAAAACAGTATAAACAAACACCTAGAATGACTATCAATATGCCTGTGGCGTCTCAGAAAACCACAAAACATTGAGAGACATAAAAGCAAAACACACGGAAGGACTTCTTCAGTAAGTTTGGTTCAAGGTGACAGAGGGCCCAGTTTGCCTGCGCTGATCTCAGTGCAAGGTGACAGTGGAATCCCTGTAGGTCAAACAGTTCAGCTCATCCCAGTGAAACAAGAGCATACCCTAGAAACAGCCTATACCATCCAGACACTGTGACACACAGAAGGCAGCACACAGACTCGTGTGTTCTGTCACCTACTTTGTATCAAAGATGCAGAGCTCTGCGGTGACAGACGGCAAGGAAGCTTCTTTTCAGGTGACTCTGGTTAAGGTGACACATACTAAAAACACTGGTGAACTCAGGTTCTGCCTCAAACCACCCAAAAAACAAATCACAGACAGATCACAAACATAAATATTTCAAGTTAAAACAGTAAGCTTCCTAGATGAAACCACACAGCAAAGATTTCTTGCTAGGACTCAAGAAGTATGACATAAAGAAACAAGTATCTACGGAAAACACAAGCCTAGAGTGAATTATTGAAAGTGTTCATCCTGAGCTCAGAAGAGGCTACCTGTCAGCAAAACTTCTTTTCAGCACTGTACTGCACAAACAACAACTGCATATCAAAGAATCCAAATTAATTTATAGTATAATTGAAAAGTTTTACTGACATTAAGAACTTTTAGTCATTCAAAAAATCATTAACAGAGTGAAATCAAATCACAGAGTTTGGGACAATGCATGCAACTATTAGAAGTATTATTTGTTCTTCTCCAAGATGAAAAGTCGCCCTATCAATGAGCAGTTAATGCTAAATTCGTTATATTATGGTCCCTGAATGGAACACTTCCCAGCAATGTAGTCAATAAATCAAAAACTGACAACTACATGCAATAACACAAATGAACTCCTTGCAAACTTCAAGATCAATGACCCCAGAGATTGGGTTCTTTCTGTGTGATTCCAAGTAACATTTTCAGCAGGAGGCAAAAGTAATCTTTGGTGAAAGAAATCTTAATAGTCGTCATTTTGGGGGAAGAGAGTGTTCTGGGCACAGGCAGTTGTGGAAGGCTTCTGGTGTAGATACTGACCCGCATCTTGACCCAGGTGCTGTGTTCACTTGTGGGCCAACTGACTGAGACAGGTCCTCCTCACTGCCCATGTCACTAAGAAACGCTTGTGTCAGTATATGAAACACATTACTGGGACTGTAGTCTGCCATCTGTGGTGTCTCAGTGTGAGGCAGCAACCTGTGTGCAGCAGCATAATGGTGCACAGAGGCTCCCTAGGTGTAGACAGAAGCTGCCTCTCCTTTAGTACAACTTCCTCCCATGAATGCCATTCTGCTCCAGTAGCTTCTTGTGTCTCCAAATCACTTTCTTTCTTGTTTTCTGTTTTTTCCTTCTTCCCCTCTCACACTGAGTTTCCATGGAATGGGACTGCAGGGCATTGGTCATCACTGGGAGACATGCACATCTAGAAGACCATATGGCCTCCTATGGTCACCATTTCAGATTCTCATGAGGATAAAAAGCTACATGTGCAGAGTTCTACATGCTGTCAGCTTGACTCACTGTGCCATGTGATAAAGTGTGAAGGGACTCAAGTTTGAGAATGTGGACTGTTCAATATGGGAAAATAAACATTTTTCCAGTTTACTTCTCTGAATGTTTCCTTTCTTTTTAATAATTTAAAATGCACAAAAGTGCAGAGAAAACATAACAAATATTAATATTGCACCAACTTTATTTTTTTATGTATATGAGTGTTTTGTCTGCATGCATGTAAGTGTACCCATGTGTGCAATACCTGCAGAGGCCAGAAAAGGGCACTGGACCCTCTAGAACTAGAGTTACGAATGGTTGTTAGCTGGCACGTGGATGCTGGAATCAAACTTGGGTCCTCTGCAAGAGCTGCCAGTGCTTTTAACCACTGAACCATCTCTCTAGTCCCTGTACCACCTTTTCAAAGAACCAGAATATGATTGGTCTTCCCCACTTTTTTCACGATATCTGGATTAAAAGTTCTGACTTCCTATTCTGGGAATTATCAGCCATACTTGAGACCTGTGAAAATGGAAAGTATAACTCAGCTACAGTTGCTGAGTTTTTAGTTACATTTGCCATCACACCTAACTCCTTACTTTCCTTCTTAATGGTTGTTGTTAAGTCTAGAAATGATCCCTTTGCTGACACTGACTTTATCTCATAGACTGTCAATGTCTGAGCATACCCCCAGCAGAATGAAGCAGGATGGAGGTGACAAGAACTCTGGTGACTCACTGTACATCACCCATCACATTGAATGGCAGCAATGCTAGGCATAGTCATCCCCATAGGTTCATCAGCTTTTTCTAAAGAGGTATTTCCCTTTGGACCGAGGCCTCCAGCCCTTACTCTGAGCAATCACTAGCCACCTCAGAGACCTGAGTGGGGCCCAGACGGTGATGGAGTAATATCTGACATGATCTCCAGCACCAAGGGTGTTCTATTGCTTGACAAATGGAGGGGCTCCAGGATGGGTACCTCAGATCTCCTAACCCTCTGAGGTACCAAAGTTTTTTGGTCTCATTCTTTGCAGAACTGCACATTTCTTCTCCTTACCTGAAGAAGCAGAGAATTATGCTTCCAGTTGTGAGAGACATCAGAGAAACACTGTAGCCCAAGGTATAAATGGCCTTCACCAGAATATAAAATGTGATCTACAAAGAAAGAGAAACACATTTGTAAGCTGCTGGCCAACTTCATGGGGCAAAACGGCATTGTGAAGTCCCCTTCACAAAGGACTGTCTCCTGTATGCTGAGTGTCAGAAGACAGGAGGCAAAGATCATTGTATTATTCTACCTCCATCTAGAGCCCAGAAGGATCTTTATGTTTTGAAGACCTGCCTTTTCTTACAAGTCATTATGAGTGACTGGAAGGTTTTTGTAAAGAAATATGTCTGAGGGAACCATATTGGCTGCCATCAGGGTCAAGAAAAGACAGGCAGATCTGAGCTGAGCCTGTGGGGTCCTTGAAGTGGGGTTGGAATGGGCCCAGTCTCAGGAAACACATTTCCCAACAAGACCAGGTGGACACACACATCTAAGTACATGGAGAACCAGGTGGCATCAAAGGCACATGGTCTTGTACTCAAGAGGGCCTCTTCTTACAGAGGTGCTCTGTCTTGGAATTTTTATTTTGAATACTTCTTGGTTTAGCAGGCTTCATGGCTGGAGTCTAACATCTGTGTAATCATCAGGAGTGGGAAGGAACTATAGTTACTGCTGTAGGACCACTGAGTAGACACTGGAATAAGAAAGACCCTGTGTGTGTGTGTGTGTATGTGTGTGTGTGTGTGTGTGTGTGTGTGAGAGAGAGAGAGAGAGAGAGAGAGAGAGAGAGAGTCAGAGTCAGTCACAGGATACCTACACAGGCTGTGCCACCCTAGCTGCCCAGAGGCCATATCTGTTCTGCAATTTCTGGTGAAACTAAGTCCTGTATGAAAATGAACAAACATCTACCTGTTCATACAGGATAAATTTTATTTGTTTTTAAAGTCCTAAAATAGACACAATTACTGCTACCAAACCTTCAGGTTATGGTACAATAAAGAGTTCAGTTAGGTGTGGTGGCACATGCCTGCAATCCCAGGACTCAGGAGGTAGAGGCAGAAAGATTAGGAATTTAAGGACAGCCTTTGCTACATACAGAGTTTGAAGCAAGCCTGGGCTTCTACATGAGACTCAAAACATAAAAAATATGCATCTTGGGGCCTGAAGAGATGGATCAGCAGTTAAGAGCACAGGCTGCTCTTACAGAGGACCCAAGTTTGGTTCCCAGCACCCACATAGCAGTCAAACAGCCCCAGTTCCAGGGGATCCAACACCCTCTTCTGACCTCTGCAGGCATTGCACAAGATGGATGCACTCACATACATGCAGGTAATATACTCATATACATAAAATAAAAATAATAAAATATCAAAAAACATGCATCTTGCTAATGCTAACCTGCTAGATAAGTTGTATCCTCTAGTGTAATAGTGCGATGACTGTTAATGGGGAACCAACTGCTTTCTGATTGGATTTGAGGCCTGTTCTACAGGAGGGATTTCATGTCTGGTACTGTAAATCTGGTCAAAAGTCTGTGACCGGGGAGACTGTAGGCCATAGTGGGGAACCTACTAGTGTTTTTCTGAATAGTCATGTTGTCAAACTGCCTTCTAAATAGCTATGTCTGTACCCATAGGTTTGTGCTGCTCTCAGCCTTGGTCAGAGAAGCTTCTTTTTGCAGTAGAAAGTGGTTAATGCAGACTCATAAGCAGTCAAAGTGCTGAGAATAAGTGGCTGTGAGTGCTCAGCTGTAGACTGGGTGAGCTAAAAACATGACAGTATAGTTAGGGTAGGAAAGATGGGGAGCAACCTGGCAAAAGGAATGACTAGTGAGAAGGTGCTATAGCAGAAGAATGACAGGAAGGAGCAGACCACACAGGCAATGAGGACCTGAGGTCACAGGAGCAATGTGATCTGACTACACCTCAGTTACTGGATTGGGACAGACATACTGGGAGGGGAGACATATATTGCTCTTTCCATTGGTGAGTATATTCCAGTGGGACACTGTGGCCAGTTTGAAACAGTGATGAAAACTATTCAAATCCCAACATAGTAATGTAAAGAGAGGGCCAACAGATCTAGATGTAGATAGTTGGGGAAATCCAAGGGTTTTGGTGGAGCAGCTGGATTACGAGAGGCATGGACTGAGGTGGGGAAGAGACAGAAAGAGCCACAGCTGTGTCCTTTCTTCCCAGATATTGCCAGGAGGACTCAGCCTCTGCAGAGGCAGCTAGAGTTCAGGGAGAGGCCTGGACCAGAGGCTTGCTAGGAGTTGTCAGCAGTAGGTGGTCCTGAAAACCAGGAGCCTAGGTGTTTATTTACTAAGAAATTTAATGACAAAGAACAATGCTTCTGATGAGATGGTAGAATGGAGAAGCAGCCAGCCCATCCCAGTGTAAGATCTCAAACAGGCAGACACAGGGATCCTACCGTGGTCCTGCTGTGGGTAAAAGGTGGCTCTATTTCACTAATGTGCACTGTTCAAGGGAGCATAGATCTGAAGCCCTGGTTGGTCCTCCATTCTGACCTCACACAATGAGCTTTGGAGAGCTTTGAGTCAGGACAGGAGACTGCTAGGGGCTGTGGGTCAGGCAGGGTACTGGAGAGGTGGCTAGTGGTTAAGAGCACTGGCTGTTCTTGCAGAAGACCTAGGTTCAGCTCCCAAAGCATGGTGGCCAACACTCATCCTTAACTACAGTTGCAGGGGATCTGACACCCTCTTTTGGCCTCTGTGGGCATTATACATAAAGGTACACTCACATACATGCAAGCAAAACACTCATACATATAATAAATTAGAAGAAACATCAGTTAGAAACTTCAGAGACCAAGAGAAACTTCAGTAGTAGGACACTTCCTCAGTACGCATAAGGCTTTGCGTTCCATACTTAGCACCACTACCACCATCACCACACTATCACCATCATCACCATCACCACCACCACAACACACACACACACACACACACAAGCAAAATAACCCCAATTTAACACTAGTTGGAAGACATAGGACAGCAGAGGAAAAAAAAAGACAGTAATTATCTCTGACCACCCTAAATAACCCCTTTTCCTGGAAACTGTCTCTTCTGCTGAGTCCCCCATGGATCTTCCCTGAGACCCGACTTGCCCTGCTGATCTGCTCAGATTCCTTGACTGTGGATACCTGGGTTTCTCTGGTGCCTCAGCCCACCTGTCATTCTCATGACAGCCATACTGTCCCCACAGAGTACTTAGGGCCCTGGGGCATGACTGGCATCAGCACATGGCATTTAACCAGTAAGGAAAAAATATACCCAGGGATCTAGGACTTGTGAGGTTTGAACAATTAACAAAATAACTATTTGGCTCAAAGTGTTGAAATTGAAAAGTTGCTGGGAGCAGGCTGTCCCTTAAGGCCTTGTCTCTTGCCTCAACTCATGGGCTCTGGAGGCTATGGGAGTGGGCAGCTTTGCCTGGCATTGCCAGGTTGACTTTCTTGAGCTTTGCCCACCCCACCCCTTCTTCCAAACTCCAACTTGAGCATGGGCTCTCCAAAGGAAGTTCCTCATGTTTCATACTTGTAGAGACTCAGGCCAGTACTCTGGGAGGATCATACTGGCTACCAGTTCATATAAAGTTAACTAGGCTAGTCTAACCCTGACTTAGCTCAGGTGATCAAGGTGAGTGCACATTTCGGTGTGGCAAACTTAAGGCATTAGATAAGATGCTAGGAGAATTTTTCCCCTTGTCTTGTTAAACCTTAGCAGCCAGCCATGATTCCCATGATGAGCAACATGGAGATGCTCTCAATCTGCCTCATGCCTGGTGAGGCCATTTAAATTAAATTAATTAAAGGTATATAAGGTTTAAACTCCAGTTACTTGGTTAAACTGGCCACATTTCAGGGCTCTAAGCCCTAGCTCCCAGTAGCCTAAACCCTGGACCACCAAAGAGCCCTTCTATCCTGGTAGGAATGTCTGAGGCACAGTACCCAGGACAGTGCTTGTTGGCCTCTAGGAAAGAGATCCCAGATCATCCCACAGACAAGGAATTCACTAAGAACAAATGCAGCTACTTCTTGATAGCTGTGAAAACAAAGAGAGCTTAGTGTAATTAACAGCACTTGAGACACCTGCAAGGTTGGAGGCAGCCATACCAACCAGTGACTAACAGCTAGCAGACAGTTAAGGTCAGGAACTAACAAAGCACAAGTCAGAGATGGACAGAGGGGAATTTCAACAGCTTCTGATTAGGTCAGCAGCACATGAACAGTGCAAGATCGTCACCCTGTTTGGGCCAGGGGGGCATGCACAGAGGGTGTGGGTGGGCCCTCCACTGGCTCAGCTTATGATAACCCAGATAATTAACCAATCTCAATAAAGATTACCTCAGACTTTGTCTAGTTTCTGCCATGGCTCTATAAAAACTCCTAGACAAAGGAGTTAGATACCTTTTTCCTTTCTTGGAAACCCCTCCCAATCTTATGAGTTTCTTTCATTTTTCCACAATTCATCACTTTTCTGTGAATCTTCTCAATAACGATGGCTTCTGCTTTGCATAATCTCAGTAGAGTCTGCATCTATAATTTTCATTGGCATGAGACAGCAAACTCGGACCACCATCTCAGGTTGACCTTTTGTGACTGTTGAGTGTCCAGCGCCTTAGGACCCTGGGTCAAGCACAAGTGGGCCCAGAAAGATTCCATTATATTAAACCTTGCATCACAATTACTGCCATAGACGTCTGAAAAGGCAGGAGCAGAAGTAATCATCCATGGGCTCTGAAGCCAAGACCTCTGTGACAGACAAAATTTCTGGAAAGCACAGAGCATGTCTACCATCTGACATGAGGACGTGTCACTGTCCCACCTATGCGCACAACCAGTGCTTAGTATGCCACAATGCCCAATATGAGGGTAGAACCCAGGAACTATAACAACTCAGTCACTTTCTTTTTATATGATTTGTTTTTCCTTTAGGGAACTAGAAATGACTAAAATATGTCAGGTCTTTGTTGACAGAGCCATCAGCCTGAGCCCAAGGTTCTTTCCTTGAGCTTCCCAGCCATGCCAAATGGTGGACTTGATCAGCACAAGCTATGCTCTTGCAAGAAGAAAGACTCCCTGT